ATTGGTACAGCGACACAGGCACCACTGATCATATCACCAGTGACCTGAATCGTCTCACTGTGCGTGAACGCTATCATGGAGGTGAACAAGTTCAAGTCGGCAATTGAGCAGGTTTGCGTATTTTGCATACTGGTCATTCTTTAATTAATACTGCTGCTCGTCCTCTTGTATTGCGTAATATTTTGCATGTACCTGAAATTTCCAAACATCTTCTTTCCATTCATAAATTCTCGTGATAATGACGTATTTTTTTAATACCATCCTTGGCATTTTTCTATTAAGGATCGACGGTAGAGGAAAAGTCTTCTAAACGGGAGGTGTGAGTCTAGTCTCCATCCTATTAAGCAATCTGATGTCGATGATCTTAAGCACGCCTTAGTGAGCAGATCTACTACTCACGCCCAATGGTATGCACGTCTTGGACATCCTTCATCAAGTAGTAAAGTCAATTTTACGTCTCAATAATATTTCGTGTGCTAGTGAGTCATCTTTGCCAGTTTGTAATGCGTGTCAATCAGCAAAAAGTCATCAGTTACTATATACTAGTTCTTCTCATAGGTCTTCGTCACCTTTGGAACTGATTTTTTTTGGATGTTTGGGGCACTGTACCTCCATATGTTGGGGGTTTTAAATATTATATTAGCATCATTGATGATTTCAATAAATTTTCGTGGATCTATTTGATGCATGATCGTACAAAAACTCCTCGTATATTTTTGCAGTTCCAAGCTCATGTTGAGCGCCTCCTAGATACTAAAATCAAATGTGTCGAGTCTGATTGGGGTGGGGAATTTCAGAAAATTCATAACACATTCTTTCGTTCCCTTGGAATTGCTCATCGCGTTTCGTGCCCTCACACATATCAACAAAATGGGTCTACTAAACGCAAACACCATCATATTGTTGAAACTGACCTAGCCCTTCTAGCTCATGCTGATGTACCTATTAAATTTTGGGATGACGCGTTTCCTACAGCCACATATTTCATCAATCGTCTTTCTACTCGTGTCATCGATAACAAATGCCCCTTAGAGCGTTTTTTTCATACCCCACCAAATTACTCCTTATTAAAAGTTTTTGGGTGTACTTGTTGGCCTCATCTTCGCCCTTATAACAAACAAAAGCTCTCTTTTCGATCTAAGGAATGTGTCTTTCTAGGCTTCAGTTCTTTACATAAAGGGTATAAGTGTCTTGACACCGATTCTGGTCGTGTCTATATTTCTAGAGACATCATATTTGATGAGAATGTTTTTCCGTTCAAGAGAGCCTCACTCAATTCTTCCCCAACCTTGCAGCCAATGCACAATGCCCCTCATTTGTGCACCTTGCGTTTGGGTAATAGTAGTACTAATTTGGAGAATGATCACATGCATATATTTGTGCCTACTTACTCTTTGGATGTAGAAAACCTGGTGCCCGCATCAGCTTCAGAATTGCAGCCACAATCCTCCATGTCGCTACCGTGTGAATCGACGTTGGTTGTTCTACCAATGATTAGGGTCTCGGATCCTCCGCCAGCAGATAATAATGAGCAATGCCTTGTCGGATCTTCGGCCGCTGGTCGACCGACTGCTATAGCACCAGTTACTCCCCTCGTGACGACTGGTACGGCTGTCCCCTCTGTAAGGCCCACGTTTTGGGCCCATGGCCCAATACAATTTAATAATTATAAAAATAAGCCCTAGGGTTCAACCATTGGGGCCAAACCCTTAAGCCAGTCGTCATTCTTCCTCCTTTTCATCATTTTCTTCCTTAGACCGCTGCCACCCAATGCTCACGCCGTCCCGCAGCCGAATTTTTCCCACACCACCCATGCTCTTCACACATCAGAAAAACCGCCGCCCAACACCCACATCGCTGCCATGAGGGAACGCCATCGTCGTCGCCAGAATCGACAATAAGAGGAGTAAACGCAACAAAGATTCAACGCGGTTTCCTCTGGGATAATAGGATTGGAATCAACCCCTAGGTAGGAAGAAGGCTTGAGTGGATTTGGACCATTGTGGATTAGGAAAGGCTAAGAAAGCAGCTACCCAGGTAAGGGATACGCCTATTGAAACTAAGCGTTTTGTTTTTAAAAAATGGGCCGAACAAATTTGTCATATGGCTATGTGGTATGTAATCTGATTGCTGTCTGCCATGTAATTTGATTAGGTTATGTGCTGCTGTGTAATCTAATTAGGTTGTGTAATTTGATTGTGGTGTGCCATGTAATCTGATTGCTGTGTGTCGTATAATTTGATTAGGTTGTGTGCTGCTATGTAATCTGATTAGGCTGTGTGCTGCTACGTAATCTATGTGCTGTGTAATCGGATTAGGTTGTGTGCTGTGTAATCTGATTAGGTTGTGTGTTGTTGTATAATCTGATTAGGTTGTGTGTTGTTGTCTAATCTGATTAGGTTGTGTGCTGTTGTCTAATCTTGTTAGGTTGTGTGTTGTTGTGAAATCTGGTTTAGGTTGTGTGTTGTTGTGAAATCTGGTTTAGGTTGTGTGTTGTGGTTAGTGGTATTTGGTGATTGGGTTCGATGCGAGTTGTATGACACTATATACGCGGGGCCTATTGCATGCACATTATGCTTGTAGGTAGCAACGGTTAAGGGGCTTGTGGTAATAGTTACATGTTATGTGTTTCAGATAACTAGCCACCAATAGTCACCTTTGGGGTGATTGTAGAAAATGACATCAAAGTAAGGGTTACACGCTGTGTGTTTCGGGTAACTAGCCTTCAATAGTCATTTAGAGGAAATAAGGAGAGAGGTGATGTTCTTGTGGTAACAGTTACACGCTGTGTGTTTCGGGTAACCAGCGAGGAATAACCATTTTAAGGAGTAAAGGTGGCGTTGATGTTCTAGTGGCAATAATCACCTGCTGCGTGTTTTGGTTGATCGCCTTATGACGATTTGTATGTTTGACCCCCTATAGAGAGTTTCTTATTGAGTATTTTAATACTCACCCTGTTTTTAAAATGATTTTTGACGCGAATCTGTGGCACGGCGGTGACGAGTAGGATGTCAAAGTCAGTCATGGGGCGATTCAAGGATTTTTATGTCTTTTTGTAGTCTCATTTTGTTGGAGAGACGTTTCCGCACTTTTGTTATTATTTTAAACTATGTTGTGGACGCCTAGTTTATGAGAACTAGGCGGTCACACCAGATTTCCTTTTTATTGAATATCTTTAGGCGTCATTTTTTTTAACTTTTTAAAGGGGTACCACGCACCTAATTTCTAATAAATGATCGTTTTTGCATGGTTTTCATTCATCTTCAAATATATCACATTATTTTTTGTAACGGCTCTGACCGCTACTCATATGATAAGTCGGGTTGTTACAGTTGGTATTAGAGCCTAGTTATGGGATTCTGTAGACTGCTTACATCGTAGGCCAAAGAGTCGCCCATGACTGAACGGAAAACCCTTGTCACTTCCAGGTACGCTTGGCTATAAAATGGAGGAATATGTATTTTTGAATATTGAAATTACGTTGGTTATCATGGATGATTTTTTGTACGCTTGTAAATCAAAATTAGTGGATAATGCATGTTGCTTAATGTACGAATATGTATTGTCGAGTATTGATATTTTGATTGGCTATTATGGGTGATTTTATGCACACTTGTAAGTCGAAAGTAGTGGATAATGCATGTTGCATAATATGTGAATATGTAGTGTTAAATATTGATATTTTGATTGACTATCATGTGTGGTTTTATGTACTCGCAAGTCATAAAGTAATGGATAATACACGTTGCATAATACTCGGCTGAAAAAATGAAATTTTACGAGGTAATTAATTGTGGATTAGGAACGAAACAAGTAAAAGGATGTCTGGCCAAGTAACAAATTGGGGAGGTAAACGTGCTCGAAGTGGACCGACAAGGGGTACAGGAGAAGCCACCTTTAGAGGCCCCACTTCAAGAACAGTCAGTAAATGCGAACCCAAATCTGGGAATAGGAGTTTCCCCCATCTGATCTACCGAGAGCAAACCTTGATACTTCGGAAGTACCTAATATGACTGCGATGATGGGACTAATGCAATCTATGGCATAGACAAATTGGCAATTGGCATAACTGATCCCGACCTTAGTGTAAAGTGCCAGACAGACGACCCATCACAACCGGGGGGACGCTGACGCAACAGAAGAAAGCAAGTATTTTCGAGCTTTCAAACATTGTGATCCCGAAGTATTCTAGGGAAAATCCTAGGACCCTGTCGTAGCTGAATTATGGTTGTTGGCTATTGATGAAATTTTTCGACGCATGAAGTTTCCAGAGGAGCATAGACTGAGTTGCATGACTTACCTGTTACGCGAAGATGCTAAACTATGGTGGCAATCAGCCTCCAGGGCGATTGCTACAGACGAAGACGATATCACTTGGACACAGTTTAGAGCAACATTCCTCCGAAAATACTTCAAGCCAGTGGTGCGAAATAAGAAGCAACGTGAATTCCTAAGCATTGAGCAAGGAAACTTGTCAATAGAGGAATATGAACAAGAGTTTTTCTCGCGTGTCCCATTTCGCCCTAATAATGGCCTCAACAGAAGAGCTGAAAGTAGAATGTTTTGTTATGAGCTTGAGGCCCGATGTCCGAGCGGTGGTGTCAGCTCACCTGCCACCTGATTATGCAACAACACTCTGACTTGTCGAGATGCTCAACGATAGGACAGAAGACACCCAAACCCACTTAAACACGACGGTTGACCAAAAGAGAAAGAGAGAACGGGCGTCACCTACCTCCTCAAAGGTACCTTGGCACCAGGCCAAGACAAATTTAAACCAAGAGCATAGGCAACCAAAGGCTCGCCCACAGAACACACGTTGCACGAACTGTGGGAGATGTCACGCAGGACAATGCAAGTTTAAGAATATGATATGTTTCAACTGTCACCAAGAATGCCACGTTGTCGCGCATTGCACTCAAGAGAGAGCAACTAGTACCAATAGACCCCCTGGTAATCAACCGACCTCAAACCCGAGGCCAGCTCCACAACAGGGACAAATGTATGCTACCACTCGCCAGGAGGCAGAAAACTCCAATACGGCAGTCACAAATACACTCTCTATTCTTGGGTACTATGCATGGGTCTTGTTTGATTCTGGGACAACCCACTCCTTTATCTCTACTAACCTTGTAAAACATGCAAGAGTAGAAGTTGAACCGCTAGGGTACGGGTTGTCTGTGGGTACCCCGGCAGGGGTAAGTATGGAAGCCTTCGAGAGGGTAAAGGACAGTCAGTTGTGTGTGTCGAACCACATGATGAATGTGATGTTGATAGTCCTAATTATGACCAATTTTGACGTCATCTTAGGGATGAAGTGGTTAGCGAAAAACCATGCTTCCATTGATTGCTTCAATAAGGAGGTTGTGTTCAGACCCCCTGGTCAGCCAAGCTTCAAATTCAAGGGGACCAGGGTAGAAATGGTCCCGAAGATAATCTCGGCATTAAAGGCAAGAAGAATGTTATCCCAGGGTGATTGGGGGATATTAGCTCATGTGGTGGAATTAGGACGAACCGAGGCAAGCATTAACTCAGTGCCAGTAGTGAGAGAATTCGCCGACGTGTTCCTAGAAGATCTCCCCAGCCTACCCCCGGATTGGGAGGTGAAATTCAAAATTGTACTTGAGTCAGGAACAAACTCTATTTCAAGAGCCTAGTATAGAATGACCCCTGCTGAACTGAAAGAAAGTTGCAGCTCCAAGAGCTACTAAACAAAGGCTTTATACATCCAAGTGTGTCCCCTTGGGTACCCAAGTGATATTTGTGAAAAAGAAGGACGACTCTATGCGCTTATGCATGGACTATCGGGAGCTTAACAAAGTGACAATTAAGAACAAGTATCCTTTACCCCGCATCGACGACCTATTCGATCAGTTGCAAGGAGCAATTGTGTTCTCAAAGATTGATTTATGATCAGGCTACCATCAGTTGAGGATTAAGGAGAGTGATATCCCAAAAATAGCTTTTCGCACAAGGTATGGACATTACGAGTTTAGGGTAATGTTGTTTGGCTTGACCAACGCATCAGCAACATTTATGGGGTGGATGAACGAAGTGTTCAAAGAATTCTTAGACAGCATCATGATCGTCTTCATTAATGATATCCTTGTATACTACAAGACTAAGGAACAACACAAGAAACATCTCAGGAAGGTGTTGACCACTCTAAGGATGAACAAGTTGTTTGCAAAGTTCTGCAAGTGTGAACTTTGGGCAAAACAGATAGGATTTCTTGGGCATGTAGTTTCACATATGGGAATCACCATAGACCCAGCAAAGATTGAAGCGGTGAAGAATTGGCCTCGCCCGACCACAGTGACGGAGGTACAAAGTTTCCTTGGTCTAGCAGGGTATTATCGGCAGTTTGTGCAAGGTTTCTCCAAGATCGCCACCCCCCTCACCGGGTTGACCAAGAAAGGAAAGTTGTTCACCTGGAATGATCAGTGCGAGGATAATTTCTAAGAACTTAAACAGTGGTTACTAACAGCCCCGATACTTACTATGTCGTCAGGAGATGGAGACTTTTGTAGTATATAATGATGCTTCAAAAAAGGGGTTAGGGTGTGTCCTCATGCAACATGGGAAGGTTATCGCCTATGCTTCACGTCAACTAAAAGAATACGAGTGGAACTATCCCACCCACGACCTTGAGCTCACAGTAGTGGTATTTGCACTGAAGATTTGGAGACACTACCTTTATGGAGAAAGAACCCAAATTTTTACTGGCCACAAGAGCCTTAAATACTTCTTTACTCAGAAGGAGTTAAACATGAGACAACATCGGTGGTTGGAGTTGGTTAAAGACTATGACGTGGAGATACTCTATCACTCAGGAAAGGCGAACGTGGTAGCTGATGCATTGAGCTGAAAATCAGCATACACGTCTCCTCTAATTACCACACAAAAAGCTATCTAGCAGGATCTGGAACGCACAGGTGTAACGGTGGCCGTAGGGGAGGTCGCAGCTCAATTGGCCCAGTTAACGGTACAACCGACTTTGAGGCAACGTATTATTGATAAACAACATGGTGATCCAAATTTGGTTGGAAAAAGACGTTTGATAGATGTCAATCAGATAGAGGAGTTTTCATTGACAGTCGATGGGGGGCTCTTGTACCATGGACGGTTGTGTGTGCCAAACGATGAAGAGTTGAAGGTAGAAATCCTAACTGATGCTCACCACTCACCATTCGCCCTACATCCGGGCAGTACCAATATATATATCACGATTTAAAATGACATTATTGGTGGCAGAATATGAAACTTGATGTAGTCGAGTTTGTGAGTAAGTGTCTAGTTTGTCAACAGGTCAAAGCCCCAAGGCAGAAGAAAGTGGGGTTATTACAACCACTTAGCATACCTGAATGGAAGTGGGAGAACATCGCCATGGACTTTATTGTGGGATTACTGAGGACGCCCAAAGGCTACACAGTTATATGGGTTGTGGTTGGGGCTCACCAAGTCAGCTCACTTCCTGGCAGGTAAATCCACTTATTCCGTGGATAAATGAGATCAGCTGTACTTGAAGGAAGTAACAAGATTTCACAGGGTACCGGTATCCATTGTGTCAGATAGGGATCCCCGTTTCACATCAAAGTTTTGGAAAAGCCTTCAATAAGCGTTGGGTACATGGCTAGAGTTTAGTACAGCATTCCACCCAAAGACGGATGGGCAAACTGAACGCTTAAACAAATTCTAGAGGACGTGTTATGAGCCTGTATGTTGGACTTTGCCGGTAGCTGGGACATATACTTACATCTCATAGAGTTCACTTATAACAACAGTTATCAAGTGACGTTGGGTATGGCACCTTTTGAGGCCTTATACGGGAAGAAGTGTCGATCCTCAATGTGTTGGGATGAAGTAGGAGAACACAAGTTGTTGGGCCCCGACTTAGTGCAAGCAACTAATGAGACTATCTAGAAAATAAGGACTAGAATGCGTACGATCCAAAGCAGGCAAAAGAGTTATGCCGATGTGAGATGAAGGGATTTGGAGTTTGAGGTGGGAGACAAAGTATTCCTTAAGGTGGCTCCCATGAAAGGCGTTCTTAGGTTCAGGCGCAAAGGAAAGTTAAGCCCACGCTTCATTGAACTATTTGAGATCTTGGAGAGAGTGGGACAAGTAGCTTACCAGTTGGGCCTACCACCTGTACTTTTAGGAGTTCATAATGTGTTTCATGTATCGATGTTGCGACTATACATAGTAGACCGAACGCATGTGATAGATTTCAAACCTCTACGGTTGGATAAGGGTTTGAACTAGAAGAAGTGGAGTGAAAACCCTACGTAATCAAGAGAGCGCGTTTGTTAAAGTATTATGGCAGAATCACCAGCTAGAAGAAGCCACTTGGGAACGAGAAGAGGAAATGATGAGCAAGTACCCTGAGCTCTTCATAGCGGAAGGTATGTAGCGCAAGCCTTCTGCATTTAAATGAAGCTTTCGAGGGCGAAAGTTTCTTTTAACTTCTTTTTGGAGGGGATATTGTAAGTCCCATGTTTTGGGCCCATGGCCCAATACAAACTAATAATTATAAAAATAAGCCCTAGGTTCAGCCATTGGGGCCAAACCCTTAAGCCAGCCGCCGTTCTTCCTCCTTTTTGTCATTTTCTTCCTTAGACCGCTGCCACCCAACGTTCACTCCCGCAGTCGAATATTTCCCACACCACCTCGCGCCCTTCGCACATCAGAAAAATCGCCGCCCAACACCCACATCGCCGCTGTGAGGGAACGCCATCGTCGTCGCCAGAACCATCATAAGAGGAGTAAAAGCAACAAAGATTCAATGCGGTTTCCTCTCGGGATAGTAGGATTGGAATCAACCCCTACGTAGGAAGAAGGCTCGATTTGAGTGGAGTCGGACCATTGTGGATTAGGAAAGGCTAAGAAAGCAGCTACCCAGGTAAGGGACACGCCTGCTGAAACTTAACGTTTTGTTTCAGATTATTCATATGGCTATGTGCTATATAATCTGATTGTTGTGTGCCGTGTAATTTTATTAGGTTCTGTGCTGCTATGTAATCTGATTAGGCTGTGTAATCTGACATTATGTGCCGTGTAATCTGATTGCTGTGTGCCGTGTAATTTGATTAGGTTGTGTGTTGTTGTGTAATCTTATTAAGCTGTGTAATCTGATTAGGCTGTGTGCTGTGTAATTTGATTAGGTTGTGTGCTGCTGTGTAATCTAATTAGGCTGTGTAATTTGATTAGGTTGTGTGCTCTTGTATAATTTGATTAGGTTGTGTGCTCTTGTGTAATTTGATTAGGTTGTGTGCTCTTGTGTAATCTGGTTAGGTTGTGTGTTGTTGTGTAATCTGGTTTAGGTTGTGTGCTGTGGTTAGTGGTATTTAGTGATTGGGTTCGATGCGAGTTGTATGACACAACATACGCGAGGCCTATTGCCTGCATATTGTGCTTGTAGGTAGCAACGGTTAAGGGGCTTGTGGTAATAGTTACACGCTGTGTGTTTCGGGTAACTAGCCACCAATAGTCACCTTTGAGGTGATTGTAGAAAATGATTATCAAGGTAAGGGTTACAGGCTGTGTGTTTCGGGTAACCAGCCTTCGGTAGTTATTTTGAGGAAATAAGGAGGGAGGTGATGTTCTTGTGGTAATGGTTACACGCAGTGTGTTTCGGGTAACCAGCAAGGAATGACCATTTTAAGGAGTAAAGGTGGCATTGATGTTCTGGTGGCAATAATCACCTGCTGCGTGATTTGGTTGATCGCCTTATGACGATTTGTATGTTTGACCCCGGGAGTTCCTTACTAAATATTTTAATACTTACCCTGTTTTTAAAATGATTTTTTAGGCGAAGCTATGGCACGGAGGTGACAAGTAGGATGTCAAAGTCAGCCATGGTGCGATTCAGGGATTTTTATGTTTTTTTTGTAGTCTCATTTGGTTGGAGAGACGTTTCCACACTTTTGTTATTAATTTAAATTATGTTGTGGACACCTAGTTTATGGGAACTAGGCGGTCACACCAAATTTCCTTTTGATTTTAATTTCCTACTTTGTTTTGAATATCTTTAGGCGGCATTTTTTTTAACTTTAAAGGGTACCCCGCACTTGATTTCTAATAAATGATTGTTTTTGCATGGTTTTCATTCATCTTTAAATAAATCACATTATTTTGGTAACGGCCTTGACCGCTACTTATATGATAAGTTGGGACGTTACACCTCTGAACCTACTTCACATATTACTGCTATGGAGCATCACCTCTAGCGTCAGGTAATGAATGATGAATTTCAGGCACTTCAAAAAAATGAGACATGACACTTAGTTCCTCCTCGTGCTGGTATTAATGTTATTGATTGCAAATGGGTTTTCAAACTCAAGCAAAAGCTAGATGACTCTATTGATCGCTACAAAGCACGCTTGGTTGCTAAAGGGTTTTAAACAACAGTATGGCATTGATTATGATGATACCTTTGGTCTAGTTGTTAAGCCCACTACCATTCGACTCTTATTATCTCTTGCTATTTCTTGTGGGTGGGCTATTCGGCAGATTGATATACAAAATGCTTTTCTTCATGGATTTCTTAAAGAAGATGTTTATATGAAGCAGCCCCTGGATTTGTGGATTCTCAACATCCTGGTTATCTCTGCAAGCTGGATAAGTCGCTTTATGGCCTCAAACAAGCTCCGCGTGCCTAGTTTTCTCGCCTTAGCTCCAAACTATTACAGTTGGATTTTACACCTTCAAAGGCTGATGTCTCTGTTTTCATTTTTAACAAGACGGACATTTAGATGTATATCCTCATCTATGTTGATGACATTATTATCATCAGCTCATCTTCTACGGCTATTGAGAAACTTCTTACACAGCTTCGGGATGATTTTACCGTTAAGGATCTTGGCATTTTGAGTTATTTTCTTGGGATTGAGGTCCGCCATACTTCCGATTGACTTGTTCTGACACAGCAAAAATACATTCAAGATTTATTGTCCAGAACCAATATGCTCACTTCCAAAGGTGTGCCCACACCTATGCTTTCTAGTGAGAAGTTGTTATTGGATGGTGGTGAAAAGCTCTTGCCTAAGGATACTACTCGCTATCTGAGTGTCGTTGGTGCTCTCCAATATTTGTCTCTGACACGTTTTGATATATCCTTTTGTGTCAACAGAGTGTGTCAGTTCATGTCCTCCCCGACGTCTGTGCATTGGGCGGTAGTCAAACGAATTCTCCGTTATCTACATGACACTACTCATATGGGTTTGTGTCTTACGAAGTCCAGCACTAATTTGCTGAGTGCCTTTTCGGATGCTGATGGGTCGGGAATCCTGATGATCATCGAAGCACTAGAGACTATGCTATCTTCTTTGGTGGCAATCTTATCTCCTGGAGTTCAAGGAAACAATTGATAGTTTCTCATTCTAGTACGGAGGCCGAATATAAGACGATTGATGATGCCATTGTCGAATTAATTTGGATCCAAGTCCTCTTGCATGAGCTCG